GTGCTAATAAATATTGGCAGGTTGCCGGACTCTAGTTGTCGTATTTCCATACATAGATCCAGCCTCGCTTTTATGCGCCGTTTAATTTCTTTTAACACACTCTCCACACAGTCTTGTGCCAATTCTTGACTCGTCAGCTACAAATAAAAATGACACGAAATTGAATTTTAATTAGAATACGTTACTTTAATTGCGCATCTATCGTGGAAGAGATTTATATATTTGAATCGTTATTAATTTTGTATTACTAACGGAACAACTATTTTTAACATTTATGTCACACGACATACATATTTACAAGGACATGTACCTTTTGTTGTTGTTCGCTCATGTCACACGAGACAAAGTGTAGACCAGCCATTCTTTGTGCCCATCTGTAAGGAATGCCTAGTCCCAAAGACGAAAACGATCCCAAGTTATGCCGCGACAACTGATACTGATTGGCAGGATTCGGACTTTCCAACCCTAAATCTCGTGGGTACAATTCGCGAAGAACCGACTCGGATACTAGCATGTCTCTATTAATTAATCATACAACTTGAAAAGATTAACTCAAACTTATCAGATCAAAGGAAACAAGAGAAGAGTATTGTCATATATTTGTATACACGAAATTTGAATGAAATTAATATTAAGATTATATATATATATATATATATATGAGTTATACATACCCAGCACTAATACCTCCCAAGTCTTCTGTTTCGAGTTTTGACTCTACTGTAACGACTTTTAAATGTATCATGTAAAAAAAGTGAAGAGTCAGCCTTGTCTCGTCTAAAAATTTAAATTCGCAATAAAATTTCTTCTTTTCTCAAGATTTTTTAATCATAAATTAAAACTGATAAATATGAAATTTTATTTCTCATGTTATTTAATCCTTCAATTTAACTTGAATATTTTTTAAACATTTCATTTCTTAGAAGATAGATTTTTTTTATTCAAAACTCACTTTTTAATGTGATAAGTATTTTTACATGTAACGGATGTCGCTGTAATAGTTTAGACCGTTTCTCTTCTTGCCTCGCTTCCCGGGATAATCTGTGATGTCTTTTCTTATGCACGGGTGTTTCTTCCACGATACTTTCCGACTGATTCTCAGGATCCGAATCAGACTCTTGCAAACCGTCATGATTGTTTGCGCGTTTTGCTTCGTCCTCGTCACCTTCCACCTTGACTAGCAACGTACTATCTACAAGATGTTTCACAAGAAACGATATCTGTGACAAAATTTTATTCATAAAACAAAAATATATGATATCCAATCTTTATACGAATTATACCATAAGCATCTCTATAAGCAGACGCTTTTGCATACAACACATAGAGCGGTGATGCGAGCAATGATGCTTTTTGATGCTCCTGGCGAATTTTATCCAATGGCAATCCAAGACTTTCTTGTAACGGTTTGCTCGCCTGAAAATATAAAAAAAAATTAAATTTGTTATTCACATAGGAACATTTAATAAAAACTCAACATTCTGTACATTTTCTAAACCAATAAGTTAAATTTGCCTACATCCAATATAGAACGCAACTGCGGCGCAAGATTGTCCAAACGAGTCTGTTTCGTTTCAATACTGGACGCTACCGCCTTTTTACTCTCTGTCAATTCATCACACAATGCCGCCAATTGCTTTCGTTGTGTCAGTTCCCATTCTAAACGAGCCAGTCTCAGTTGATGAGAATTATTCTTTGTTATTTCCTAAAATATGTATTGTATTATATATATTGCAAAGAATTAAATTTTATATATACTCAAATTATGTTAACTATGGTTCCGTTCCGTTTTGCACTTGTAAGCATCATTCGTTCTTGTTTTGATAGACAATAAGGATAAATTGATGCTGACAGCGTGTGAAAATGGAACGCATCCTATGTAAAACTTATGTATACACACAGATCGCGAGATACTTTCTGGAGCTTCTTTATAAAATTCTTCTTCTGAAACAAGTTCTATCAATTCATCTTTAGATCTAGAACAAAGAAAATAAAAATTATTCATTTTTGTTTAGAGTGATAATAAAAAGTCAAAAGGTTCTTTTGCAAGATAAAAAAAATTTACTTGAATTGAAGACATTTGATAACTTCTTTCTTCAAATGCATCACTTCGTACAATAGATTCTGTAAATGCAAATGTCTACTATCAACGCTACTCTTTGCAGCCACTAGAGAGTCTCGTGCAGATTTTGTACGGAACTTTTCCATACGATTTAACTTCTTCAGTTCTATAAAAGCCAGTGACGTTTGAATTTGCAGCTCATGAATATCATCTTTTACCTAAAGCATTTGTTTTAATAAGTTTAAAGCAAACTTGACAATAAACGATAACATAGAATCTCTGTTACAAACGTTTGGGTCACCACTGGACTTTAATTTTGCTATTTTACTCATCGCCGCTCGAATATCGTTACAAGTTGCCAGAAAGCATTCGGAATCATCTTCAGACAATCTCTCAACAGCTTCTTTCTCTTCATAATTAATTATTATCTGACAATGATATGAGAGACAAAAGTTAATGAGGCAGCAGCAGAATAAAAATAAATCATTATTCCCTAACAAACAAGCTTGTCGTCATTTCAATGTTCAAAACGTCATTCTGAAGTCAAAAAGACAATAAATAACGTCAGCTTGTTTGGTGATTCGTTTGTAGCAAACTGTAGCAAACATACCATATATTTTATTTTATTTAGTTTAATTTAATCATAATTTCATGAATTAAACTTAACCTACGATGTTGACGAAAATATATTGCTTGAGCTATTCAAGCTATTTGAGCGAAAAAATAAAAAATTTGAATGATAGAAATCATCGTTTGGTATCGCGAAAATTAAGTGATATTTTTTAAAAATCTATTTCGGTCGGAAATTTGAAGCGAACAAATGTATTACAGTATTATACGTCAAATATCTTGTAACTTTTTAAACAAAATCTTTAACTTTTTTATACCTTATACATATCTCCGTCTTTCGTTGAGGTTCCGCTGTTTGCACTCACAGACTTTCTTCTTTTTTTCACACTATCCGATTCATTTTCTTTACCCATTTTCACGTCAATAAATAAAATCAAGTGTAAATTAACTCCTACAACTCCGAATATACACACAAACGAACACTATCACATACTAGTATGTAGTGTCTCTTTAATCCGGCCACCCGAAGTGGCCGCCATTTGTCATCGAAATTGTGCGAAAGAGAAAAATCGTACTATCTCACTTCTTCTTACGCTACAGTGGCGCTGTAAGTTGTAGCTCTATAAAGTCACTAGATCTATTAAGGCCTGTATTCATAGACCGGTATTCATAGTCGATTCTTAGGCCTGTTCTTTTTGGTTGAACTTTTGCACCAGTTCATCTTTCTTCCTTTTTTCTTCAGGAGGAAAGAAAAAAGAAGAAAGATAAACTGGTGCAAGAGTTCAGTCAAAAAGAACAGACCTCTTATTTCAAGCCGTCTTAAGTAATGTCTTAAGACACTAATGCGGCCCTCTGATTGGTTCGTGACATCTTAAGTACAGTTAATAGGAGAAGAATAATCAACTGTGATTGGTCAATTTTCTACGACTTAAGACCCTACGACCGCTACGACTTCTATTGTAGACCCCGCATTACTTAAGACGGTCTTGAAATAAGAATCGATTATGAATACCGGCCTAAGTATCGCAAACTCGCATCCATTTTGAGGCGAAACGCGGCCATTTCAAATTTAGACATTTGCATTACGTGCATTATTTGGAAAAATGAAGCCGTCAAGTATGTAAATCAACGGCTGCGTTCAGCAGAGAAAGCAGCTTTGCAAC